CAAACAAGCACGAAATCGGAAAAAAATCCTTTGGCGCTCAGGATTTTTCCACCAATAACTTTCGCTCCATGACAGGCCACAAAGCACAGTGGTACATGATTTATGGGTAAGGCAATCGATTCACTCATTTGCCTTACAAGCTCTTCATTATTTGAAGAGCTGTTTGTAATACATATAAAATAAAATCTGATTTTAATATATCTAAACAAGTATGTATTTGGCTGATATTGTATTGGCATAGTTACCATGAATATAAAAATCAATACGACTTACTGCTAATGAGAATATTAAAGTGCTTTGATGGTTGTGTAATATATTTCAGTCTTATTTTCACCCACAGTAACACAGCTGCAATCGGTTCTGAAAGCTGTAAGGTAAACCAAAGAGAAAATCATTAATAAAGCAGCTTAAAATTGCATTAACACTGCAAATTTATACACATGCACATCCGTATAGATTGAGCTCGTTCAGACCAAAAGAGATTTAAAAGTGGAGAAGTTAAACAATTTGTTCGGTCAGAGGGAGAGAGAGAGACAGAGTGGCGGACAAAGTCAGATATGTAGACCGAATAAGGACATGAACTACTTTTCGAAGGGCATGCATTAGTTGCGGACATAATGTCCTGCAAATTGTAGACATTTTTCAATTTAATGAGGTGCTTTACTCTAAATTTCTCACATGCATAAGCTCAAAAAATGGAGTGAGTGAGAGGGCCAAAAGCCAGAAGGAGATGGCTGTGCTAAGTGCATCATTGAAACGGCAATGTCCTGCCCGCTGGTCCGTCTGCCAAGGCCATTAAAATGGTAAATTGTGGTCTGGAAATTGCATCATTCTTTCTGGTCAAAGGGCAGAGCCTGGTCCTATGCTCGGCAAAACCAAGCAGCGGACCAGCGGAGCAGCCAACCAACCTAACTAACCTACTAACTAACATGGCACATTACTCATACGCCGCGTGCTCAATGACTGTCGACTCTCGGTGGATTGCAGCTCCAGTACATCATTATCCGCTCGCTTATCGCTCCCAGGCCCGACTTCATCCTACACAACTGGCTGTCCCATTCCACATCCCCTTTTAGCCAGAAGCCAGGAGCATCTTATCCACAGGCTCGTCAACGTCAAGTGCCTGGCACTCGGTGTCTTTGGTAAATTCTGCCCGCCAAAAGAGGATATCACACGGAGGACTCACTGTCTATGTCTGTGTCTCACTCTGAGTTTGTGTTTGCGTCTCTGCAGTTGCATGTGTCAGGCGACTGCTAGAAGTCAGCCAAAAGTAGGCAAAACCTTTTGAGGGCCGACTACAGGCAGATGTGCTTCACTTGAAATGCAGACCTAATAAATATTAGGTTTATTAAGGAGAACAATTAGAACGTTGCTTATGTGCTGGTTTCCAAAACAAATGCTTTCGGGGTAAAGAACGATTTGAAGTTCGTTTTACCGAGGCTCCACTGTACTGCCTGGCGGCAGGCGAAGTGTGAAACGTGATGGAGGAGAAAAGAGTGAAAGGACGATAGCTGTGTCTATGTCTCACTAAATCTTTGTGGCATTTATTTTGCCAGCTATTTTCAGTGATTTACTGTTGGCACACACATCTACACTCTCTTTCGCGTTCTGAGATCATCTTTCAGTTCGTATTTTCCTCTCAAACACAAACTTCAAGTTGGGGCCACACCACTCGACAAAGTGTTAATGAGCATCCACACCCACACACCCACACGCACACGCACACACACACACACACTTCAATATATTGCGCCCTGGTTGCTTTCATTATACGTGCTATTTTCGCAGCGGGCCACAGTGCGTATGCGTAATTTTTGTCACTTATGTAGTTTGCAGTTTGACAACGAGTCCCGACTTCACCCAAGTGTCAAGTGCTTGCAGCAGATTTTAATTTCGGCCACTTGATGTCTGGCTGGCCCCCGCAGCGTTTCCATCCCGTTTGATGTGTGTGAAATAAAACAAGGAGGAAAAAATGTAAAACCGGAAGGAATTAAATTAAAATTTTAATTAAAACAAGCTCCTGTCTTCAGATTCCTCCACCCATATTCCGGCCACTCGGCGCAAACAGCTTTAAGCTTCGGGCCAATTTAATAAGTGGACCAACGTGGCTAGGAGCTATTTCCCTGAGGCTGTCAGCGAGCTGTTGGAATACGGTTCAATTGACTACTTTACGAGCGCTCCTTAATGTTAACCGATGCCAAAGGATGGCTCATTACGGCTCAACTGCAGGTCTTCCACTTGATAGTTATGCTGAGCAGGTCAGCTTGTAAAGTGTTTATCGTTGAGATTCCTTAAACACTATTAACTTGGTTCACCAAGTTAAGTCAAGTTCTTTAAGTTGAAACTAGTTTGACTGAAATTACCTACTCTGCTGTGAATTTTCCGGTATTTAATAATTTGGAGCCTGTCGAATCACACATTTTTGTGGCTGGTGCCATAACTAGCTGGTTACTAAAGAATTTTACTTATTAAATACGATAAAATTACAAAATGTTGTCAAAAAACAATTTCATTGTGGTCTGACGCCCAGCTGGAGCTGCGACCCCCAAGGACTTGTTTCCCACTCCCCGAGAACTGGTCGCCTATAGTTCTGTTCCGTTCAGTTCAGTTCAGTTCAGCACCATCATCATCATCACCATCACTGCCATCAGCTAATGACCCTGGAAAATGGCCAAAACAAACGATAACCGAGGCAAGCCCAGCAGGGAACTTGTCTGGTAAGTAACGAGGATTAAAGTCGGCTTCCAGCAATTTCCCAAGTCATAAATAATATTTCAATAAATTTATATTTACCCTGGCCCCCGTTGAGCGCTTAATTGTGTTGCAATGACAATGTCACCGCCGGTCAGCTGATAGTTTTGTGTCCTTAATGTGGCAACAACTGGTCTGAAAAGTGTGCCATGCAACCGTGTTGCACATTTCATTTAGATTAAGTCGTTCTGACAGCAATTTTGCAGCACACCTAGGTTGCCTCATAACGCCGCGCAGTACAATGCAATGGGGCAAGCAAGCAGCAAAGGGGAAAATCCAATGAAAACGTAATAATTGAATTGATTTCTTTCATTCGGCATTCCTCCACCATTCACCCGCTTCTAGCTGGATCCGCTTAGCAGATTTACTCGCTCTGCTCTCTGTTCACGTCTTTTGTTTTCGCTTGCCAATTTTTGCTGGCCAGCGAAATGAAAATTGAAAATTGAATATTTCCGGCGACACAATGGGATGGCCGCAACAAAGGCAGCGACAACAGCAGCTGGGAAGCAGTTCTGCTGACCTAACCACACACCCTTTTGCACTCTCCCCGGTTTTTCCGCCCCCCTCAAATCCAAATTCAAGCGTGCGATTTTGCTCCTCTTCTTCTTTGCGAGTCGAAAATTGCATTGCTGAGGTAAAAATGGGGAGCTGCATTGCGGAGAGGGTCGGAAAATATGGCAGCAAGCGGAAACGGAAATAAGCCAAGCGCCTTTGACTGCTTCAGATTTCGAAAAACAGTTGAAAGCTGTTCGACTTTGAGTCTCCGATGGGGCGATTGAGTTGAAGTTCCTTGAAATTGGTATTTGGATGGAAACGAAAAGAGGGAAGACAGTCGTCTTAATATATTTGACTATAAAGTCGGTGGTATAAAGTATAAAATCTGGTAACATTTGAAATTGAGTTCATTACAGCTTCCATGACGCATTGTGTGATTTTGCTCCCAAATGCTGCTTCTAAACCCATATAACATAGTCACATAGTCACACTAAGTACCCATATCGAAAAGAACGATGGGGATTATCCCACTTTGGCCACAATTTAATTACATTTGCCGCACAAGGGAACGCTTCAAAGCTGCCGCAGCGCATTAGAGAACCGCTGGGGCATTGAATTAAACTGACATTAAAATAGATTCCGAATGGTGGCTGAGGAAAAAATGCAAACAACCCAGGGAGTGGGCGAGGAAATGGGTTTTTCCCGGGCCATGCATTAAATCCACCACAGAAAACAATGCACAAATCCTATTTGAGCGCCGCTTGCAATTAAATACATTCTGGGCGGGACAAATGGGTCGGTGGGCTTCAAAGTTGCCAGTGGTTTTTAGGTTGCCCGAGTGGTAAAACACACACGAGTCCCCGGGTGGAGCCACTACATCCGGAAGTACACAAATCGCATAAAACCCAAAAGGGTGGCGATGGGGACACAAGGAGCTGCTGGGTCCGAACTGAGATCTGGGAGCTGGGCGCAAAAAAAGAAGAGGAGTGACATAAAAAGCAAACAGTGTCGACACTGATTCAAAAATGTATTCAAAATGCGCTCCGAGAACTGCAGGACAGCGTTCTGGGCTGGGAAATAAAGGATTTTTCGGGATTTCGAGCGGGAACTTAAAACCCAAAAAGCTCTTCGCTCTCGCTCACTCTTTTAAGCCGCATTACAAGTGCAGGAAGCCTGTGATCCGGAATTACGAGTAGCCAAAATGCAGCTGGGTCCCCGATTCGTGGCCAAAAGTGGCAAAAGGGGTGAGTGGGTGGCGCCTCCCACGCGGTTCAAGGGTCAACAGCGAGTAAACAAGCAACTTTGCTGCGCTTTTGCCCTGTTATCGAAAGCGTACATTTAAATGTTTTCTGTCTCTTTGTTTTTGCCAAATTTATGCCAAGTGTCTGATAATTGAAACGGTCGCGGGGCAAAGGATAGTGCCAAAATGGCATCAAATCGAATCGAAATTCAGGAAAGAGAACAAAAATTGCTAAAGTAAATGGAGTGAAAAATGCACCCAAAACTACCAAGTTTGGAAGTGCAGTTTTACACCAATGCGAAGTTAAACACTTAGGCTTTGCGGAATAAACTACGCCAAGTCACTACTAATAGTTTGTAATATATTTCGGCTAAGTTATGGGAAAGCGAGAAGGCTTTGTTTTGTGTATCCGTTCTGTGTGAAAGTTAACTTTTGAAAACTTGCTAGGCGTACGCAAGTGAGCATTTCAAAACCCTTTCAAACGCTCCATTAGAAGTTAAGAATTCAGAAAACGATGTCTCGTCGTTCGACCGCTTTATCTACTGGTAAGGAGTACTCCAGGGAAGAGAAGAACCGAATGACCCAATTGGACATTATTATCAGTCAGCTGAAGACGCAGGCGGTTGGAAACCGGAAGGCGGGCAATTTGAGCGAGTCCACCCTCACATACGTATGCGATGCCAGCCGGGAACTGTTCCTGTCCCAGCCGATGCTCCTGGAACTGAGTGCTCCGGTGAAGATTTGCGGGGATCTGCACGGGCAGTTCAAGGATCTCCTGAGGATCTTTCAGCAGTGCGGCATGCCGCCGCTGTCCAACTTCCTGTTCCTTGGCGATTACGTGGATCGGGGCCAGAGCTCCATCGAAACTCTGGCCCTGCTGTTGTCCTATAAGCTTCGCTATCCGGAGAACTTCTTTTTGCTGCGCGGCAATCACGAGTCGGCGGATCTGAATCGGGTGTATGGCTTCTTCGACGAGTGCAAACGACGATATAGCATCAAGTTGTGGCGCTCCTTTGTAGATTGCTACGACTGCATGCCAGTGGCCGCCATCGTGGCCGATCGCATCTTCTGCGTCCACGGCGGACTGAGTCCGGATCTGAAGAGCCTGGACGACATCCGCCGGCTGCATCGCCCGACCGATGTGCCCAACGATGGGCTGCTGTGCGATTTGCTCTGGTCGGATCCGGACGAGTCCACCGGCACGTGGGCGTCCAACGATCGGGGTGTCAGCTACACCTTTGGTGTCAACATAGTGGAGGGCTTCCTCATGCAGCACAAGTTCAACCTGATTGTCCGCGCCCACCAGGTGGTCGAGGATGGCTACGAGTTCTTCGCCGACCGCCAGTTGGTCACCATATTCTCCGCCCCCAACTATTGCAACATCTTCGATAACTGCGGAGCTGTTCTGGTGGTGGACGCCAAGCTGGTCTGCCACTTCGTCATCATCCGTCCAAGGCCCTCTATTCGAGCCACGGGCTTTGAGTCGGATAGTGGATCAACCGCTGCGACGGCCAATGGACCACCGCCCTCCATGAGGGAGAAGAGGCTTTATTAGGTTTGATTGGACAAATATTTCGAAGCTAGATATTATGTGCAACAGTAGTTATAGTGCATGTGATTTATATATTTTTCCGGGTTACCTTAGAATTATACCTGTAATTTAAAAAAAAGCTAAAACTACAGATAAATCGTTTTTAAAATGTGAGATAACTGTGGTAATATCGTAAGTGTTTTTATTGGTTCAATTGCTATGGCAATTTACATATACTCCATGTATTTATTTTTGAATCGATTATTTTGCTTTTAATTGCGGCTCAATCGAAGGACAATTGAAGGTCGGGCAGCCCCCAAAGAAGAGTGTAATAAATCTTCATTTAAATTTAATTAAAATTCCCAATGACCGAGGGGGAGGAGCAAAGACGGCGTGTTGCGAATGGGGACACAAATAGGGGCGAGTACAAGAGGCGGGGTCAGAGGTTAACAGCTCGACAGGCGAATGAGGTGGCGGTGGCAGCTTTTGTTTGACTTTGTAAAACGTCTACCTGGCCACACTTTATGCCAGGGAAAATAATTCCGTGCGCAAATATTTAAATGTGGCCAACGGGAGAAGCCGGTGGCGCAGAGGGCGGTGGGTTTCCATTCTGTCGGCCCGCAGGCAAAACTCATTTTGTTTACAAAAACCTGGCATCGTAATTTATACATTCATGTGTGTAAACATAAACAAAAGGTTGCTTCCAAGGCAAGGAAAAGCGCCAGCAGGTGAAACTGTGGGCGGGGCGGGCAAAGAAAATAACTTTAATAATCTGGGAAAACACAAATACCATCCGAGTATGGGTGCGTTTGTGTAATTACGCACAGGGCGTGTGTGTGTGTGGGTGTGTAGAAAAACAAGCAACTGTCTGCACAAATATTTATTATGTGTTCAATTGCAATTGCCAAAGGCAACGGCAAAATGAGGGCGGCGTACGAGGCGTATGCGTGATTTCTGATGCACAGCCGGCACATAAATCACATAATTGCGGATGCCTGCGGCCATTTTGAATTGTAATTAATTTGTAATTTTTTGTACATATTTATCGAACCATTCTATCCCATTTAAATCAATTATGCAACGATATTGTTAAATATTTTATGGCCTGTGTACGTTATGAATAGCAAAGGTAACCCATAAGTATGCAACAGTCGCTAAAATTTTTATGATATCGAGGCCCTTTGATGTTGATTCAATATTGATCAAAGTACGGCCCACCTTTTCGCACTTTCCAGATTTGTTTTTCGCACTTCTCTCGCTTACATGGGCCTAATAAAATATAAAACGAAAGCTGAGGGAAGCCAAGGCACTTGCCTTTATGGGCAACAAAAAGACTTTATGTCTGCATTTCGGGCGTAACCCAAAAAAGAAAGAAAGGCTGAAATTAAATGGCAATGTAAGAAATGCCGAAACGATATGGGGCCACTTAAAGGTGGCTGACAGGTGGGGAAATGCCTTCCAACAGGCCAGATGATGTATAAAAATGTCAACAGCAACAAGAGGCAAACTTGTAAGTGTCAGGACGAGATGCGGAAAACTTTACCAAATGGTGTCAAAACATAAAACGAAAATTAAGCAAAATAAAAAAGAAAAAAGGCACATCGCGACGTTTTTTTTTATATTTTTAGTGGCCCTACCTCTGGTCCTGACACCTGCGCACATCCTTGAGGATGGCCAGGAAATGAGAAAATAAAGAGAGCAGCGGCAGGACACTACCTGCACCTGAAGCTGATGGTTGATAGCCATAAAAAATACCCCCACCTTTCTTTCCGACCATCTTAAAACTCAGCCGTTACCGTTATACTTAAAGGTTATGGGGGCACGTTACGGTGGGTGGGTCTCGCAATCTGCAGTGGAGCGCAGCGGTCCGTGCCGCAGTTGCTCCGCCCGCCCCGCTCCGCAATCTGATTGGCATGCGAAGGTCGTCGCCAGCAGTCCACGCGATGAGTCGCCCCCGATGATGACCACTTTGGGCAGAAGTGGGTGGCTTTGTGACATAGGGCAGAGGAAATAACCATTCCTAACCGATATTCATTTGTTTTTGGTATTTACTTTGTGATAAATGGCAGAGCGAAAAGCCAGGAGCGTCAAATCAGACTATTTTCATAGTTTTTTTCATATTTAATATAAATATTCAGTATAAACAATTTTGATTGTCACCTGAAAGTCTTAGGGATTATATGGCTTTTCCACTGTGTACCCTCATTATCCTTTGCCAAATTTCCCGCTAACCGATTTGGTGGCGTGCTTGCTTACGTAATGCCGCATCAAAACACGGACTTTGTTGTTGTTCTCCACGACCACGTGCGATTCGAACTGCGAACAGCTGTTTAGGCGTAAACAAAGGTCAGATGGTTCGGGAGAGCCAGAGTGATTTCTCAGGAGAGAGCGTTACGCACAAATCAGAGCTTTCACGCTCCCCGGAAACGGGCTGTACCGTTTCGCTCAGTTTGGCTCCTCGGAAAATCAGCTTCACTTTCATTCAGAGCTTCAGCTTCGTTTGCCGCTCGTCTCGTCTCGGTTCGTTTTCGCCAGAGAAATCTCAAATAATCGCCAGTTTGCCGTGGCAAGTCGAAGCCTGAGGTCGTGGCGTCGCGGTGACTTTAGCTCGGATTCGTACATACACACGTGTGTGTGAGTTCAACGGATTTCGCCAAAGCAGCTCATTAAATTCGCGCTCAGTTCGTCTGCAAAAGTCAGCAGAAGCGGTTCGGAGTGCTCCGTAGTTTCAGCGTGTATAAGGTGTTGTGCTTGTGGTGCGTGTTGCTCAATTGTGTAATTGCAATGGATGTCCTTCGTTAAGATTAAATATTAAATTTTCAATGCTCAATGCTCAATGGTCTGTGGGACGAGCTCGGCGGCAGCTTAATGCCTCGCATATCGTAGGACTCTATGGCGGCTACTTGAATTTTTATAAAGTGCCTCCGCAAATACAAAATAAGGATAAAACAAATATAAAAGGAGAAACGCGTGCCACATCCGTCAATGGCCATCAGGATGTTGCCCTACCCATTTATATTCGTGTGGATTTCGCTCGGTTGGCTTTTGTTTTTGTCCCTGTGTTATTCTTTTCCAGTTATCGTCCCTTTTTCGCCATATGCCACATGCCACAACTGAATTTGCCCCGACTTTGATTTTTATTGCCGCCGCATTTCGGTTGCTTTTTGTTGCTCCCCTTCGAAGCGTTTGCATAAATAATTGAATGCGCCTAGAGGTGCAATAAAAACCCGTGCGACCCATTGAAGTATTGAAATATTGAACCAGCTGTACCCACAAAACGACCCGCCACGAATCCTTCGAGTTGACCAAGCAGGCATTCATCATTGAAATAACCGTGGCTTATATTTTTAATAGACCGAATGAGTTGGAACGGAATGCGTCTATCAAACAATTAAAAAACTGCACATACACGTAAACGTGAAATAATTCAATTCTTGTGTTGAATGAACAAAACTGCAAATCATTTAACTTCATAAAAGAAAATACTTTCATAAATATTAATGACAGACGATGGCAATCGTGAACGCTTATTGCGTAACCATGGCTATTAAAAATCCCATGTAATACCCAGCTTTATTCTAGATTACAAAACGATGTCACCGTTTCCCTTTTCCACAAGGTCTGCGTCAATCTCCCCCAAAAAATCCCCCTTTAAAGGTATTTCAAAGCAAAACAAGTGAAAAAACGTAACCAAAATATTTCAGCCACATTTTTCTTGGCTGACTCACGTCGCCAGGTTGCAGCACCGGATCCTGATCCTGGCTGTGTTGGTGGCTGGTGTGGGTCCGTGTCCTTTTTGGCTCGATGGTTGGTTGACCTCCAGGCACCACTAATTGCTGCAATTTTTCAAGCTCCACAGAGCGTCGGTAGCCCTTAGTTGGCTGCCAGAAAAAAAGTATTTTGGCTTTGCATTCCTTTTTTTTGGCGTTGCCAATTTCCATGGAAATGCAACTGTGAATTTTTGATATTTATCAGCCAAAAAATGAAAAGAATATAGAAAAAGCAGCTGAAGAGTAAGCTGGAGCTGCGGTCGTCCTCGAAAAGTCCTTGACATGTTGGCCTCTTCTAATGAAGAATGATTGCCAACAGTTCGCCTCCCGGGATTTTACTCGTTTTTCAGTTCCCCATGGATTTCCATGACTAATGATGACCAAACAATGAGCCATTAAAAGATGGCAAAAAATATGTTGACCATGAATAAAAAATCAATTATAGAGCAAACTGCATTTTAATTAATAGCAAATATGGCCCGCTAAATGCGCACAATAATAATAATAAGAGAGATAAAGGAAAATGCATTGCAATTATCAAACAAAAAAGCCTAACACAAATATTTGACGAAAATTTCACACATTGCTGTTTTTCTTTCGAATTCAAATCAATTTTTCAGTAGAATATGCAATGAACGAATAAAATAAATAGGTGCTGAGAAATATATAAACGGTAGTTGTGCAAGTGAAGTGCCAAAACCAAAATGCCCCAAAGCAAACGCTCCAGCGAATTGTGGAATCAATACCGACACCAAAACCGAAACAAAAACCAAAGTCAAGCATCCAGTGGAGTCGTCCGTCGTCCAACGATGGGGCGGAACAAAGGAGCTGCCGCCGGATCAGGAGCACTCAACTGTGGCCTGTTGATGCTTCTGCTGCTCCTCCAGCTGGTGGGTGAGCGCCTGGCGACGCCATCGCCATCCTCGATGCAGGCGCCACAGAAACGAGGTAGGTGCCGCCGCATACACAAACGAAAAACAGGTTCCCTTGGGAATTCCTTAACACTTTTCTTAACCCATTTTACCAATGCCACAAGCCATAACATGGCAATGAAATTACTCATTATTTTGTTTAACTATTACTCGGCTTATTGAAAATCTCATATTTGCAATGATGTAATCGGGTAAAGCGGGCTGTGCTAAGTGAGCTCTTTGATGTAAATAAGTTTAAGTAAACATACGAAAGTACTTAAAGTGAAGTAAATTCCAAAGAGTAACTGTGCCCCCTTTCAGAGAATTTTTTGTAGTGCAACCACTGTGGTTCCAAATGGCAAATAAATGTCAAATAACACAACCCTAACCCCTCTTCCCATATGGCTCGTGTGTTTGCTGTGTTGTGGGTAAATACTCGTAGGCAGGACAAAAGGCGCTCCACGTTGCGTATACGCCATGTTGCCATGGCAGCCGCGACGCCTGTGCTGCTGCCATTGTTGCTCCAGCTCCAGCTGAAGCACTAGACCCGATGCCCCTGCCCATCTGAAGCTCGGGCTGAGGCTGAAGCTGAGGCTGGGACTGGTGGCAGTATTTTATTAACATTACATTGCTTTCAACTCGGCCTGACATAATAGAAAATTGAATTGCCACGATGGCTGTGTGGGAGTACCGAGCTGGGGGAACTTTTGAGCCCAGAGCTGCCCAAGGGCAACCACTGCCTTTAACCCCGACAGCTCTGCAAGTAATGCAATTAAGTGAACAGCTCTGAAGGATGCAAAACATAATTGAGGCTCGGGCGCCATGAGGTCTTGACAGGCGATAATGATGAGAGATGATGGGCCATCGGAATGTTGAGTAGCATCTGGCGGAGAAATCAAAGTGCGAAGTATTTCCTTGCAAGGGTTAATATCCTGTTTTCTTTTAACTCTCTATATGTCAAACAATTTAGCTGCCTTTATAAGCAGTCGTGAGTCGTGTTTTATATTTCAAGAAGGGCGATGACTAAAATTTTAATATACATGCTTGCCTTGGAGCAACCAGAGAATGTAAATTTGAAATAATATTCTTCGAAAATATCCTTGAGGGAGTCGGGCTTTCTCTCGGCCAGTTAGCTTTCTCCCGACCCCAGTTGCCTTCCCTGCTTTGCCCTACGAACTTTATTTGCGTGGTGCTCCATTGGATGGCAGGATACTTGCACCACATTGGCCCCGTTCCCAACTCGCGCGTCCTGCTCCCCGAACTTTTGCTTTCATTTGACGCTGGGGAACAATATTGTACCAAAGCGGGTGTCCTTTATTCATTCTTCTTGCGCCACCAGATGCCGCGTCTCGAGAGCTCCCACAACATGCTTCATTTTATTATGCAACAGCCAACGAAAAAATGTAGGGAAAACTTGCTACTTTATAGGGCAATACATATACACCAATAGCGCGGGAATAGAAAAACAACAAAAAGAGGAGCGGGAAAAACTTGACGCGACATTGTCGTAAATAAGAGGCAAAAACTTTGCCTTTGTTTTGCCAAGGCGCAGAGAAAGCGGCGGGAGAAAGTTGTGAATGAATATGATAAGTTTCCGACTCGACTGGTGTATTGGCCATGTGTGGACAACCGTCATAAATTTCCACTACTAATCCAATGCGTGGCAGACTATATAGGTGAAGTGAACTTTATGGATACTTGAACCAGCCCCCAGGACGTAGAAGTTTTATGGTTTGTGAAGCGTGAAATATGCAACAAATTGAGGGGAAAGCAAAGCCACAAGGAACGACCAGCAGATACATTTTCACCACTTTCCCAGGCTTAAGCTTGTGATGGCTAGTTATAATCAAGCAACCAAAACGAAAGTGAAATGAATAGATCGATGCTTTTCTTTGGAACAATATTAAGAAAATGTTATGCTATGACATGCAGATTGTGAAATCCTATAAACTTCCATTCGCGACTCCTCGACTTGCAGTTCAAACCACGCGCTTGACTTCGAAGAAATTCTTGAGGTAGTATACCTCCAGAATCGCCGTGATGATCAGCAACATGGGTCCAAATATAGACCACGCCAGTACCCGGAGTTCCACCATATCGCTGACCTCCAAGTGGCCGCGATAGCGGAAGTGCATGTATTCCTGCTCCATCTTCACGGCTCCCAGTTTGGCGGAGAGCTCGTTGATCATCGACTGGACGGCTGTCTGCTCGATGACGTCGTCCCCCCGTTTGGAGGAGTCCATATAGAACTCAATGGCCCTGGCCACGTGAAACTGGAACATAAGGATCTTGGGAGTCAGCGTGGACATTTTATTGTCGAAGCACAATTGGTACTGGCCCTCCTTCATGGCCGTGAAGGTGAAGCTGCCCAAGGTGTCCTGCGCGGAGTGGTGCAGGCGATCGTCGTCGGGTCCCGAGATCTCGACGCCCACATCCTTGAAGCCGCCTTCCATTACCTCGAAGGACATGGTCACCTTATCGCCGACATTGGCGCGATCGTAGAAGCACATCTCCTCGTGGGCGTCCACGGTAATGATGAAGCCACTAGCCGCTTGTAAAAGCGCCAACACAAAGACCATTACTGACAGCATCTTCAATTTATTTACTTCGTTTTGCGTCCCGGACTCAAAATATATTAGTATATATACATAAATCCAATGTATATTTATACTGAGATTGAAAGATGTTATTCTCCCGACCACTGCCATCCGAACTGAATAATTGAATGCCGTGCTAATTTAACCAGCTTCGCTTCATTATCGAGCTGCCTTTCCACCGACTTTGGCCCACTTTGCCCCACTTTGGCCACTTGGCCCACTCTGCAAACACCCTGCAAATCAAATTAAGATGATAAAAGCAAATTGCAAATTGTCAGATGGCCGCCCCCAAAGTCGCCCCTTGGCAATGCATATTTGATGTTATCGATTCCTTGGCCCATCAATTGTCAAAATGTCATGCATTTTTAATGCCATCTGGGCGGGCGGACACGCATTTGGATTTTCCGCAAATCATTCTTCTTGCTCTTTCAGTCGCCCATTGAAAGCTGGATTGCAGTTTTTGTGCCATAAATTTCAGTTCAAAATGATGGACGTACTTTAAAATTTTACAAAATTTGTCCATTGTTTTCAGCTGGAATTTCAGTGCTTTGTTTATTTCTGTTGATTTTCAGAAAATGGTTTGCGTGAATGGAATCAAAGCTGTTGCTGATGTAATTTCACTAATTACCGCGTAATTTTTCGCCAAAAGTATTGCACTAGTCGCAGTAATAACTGTAGTAACAAGATATTCTTTCAACTTTCCATAACATTTATGCAGTTTTACAATAATGTATTAAATTGCATGGAAATTCGTTCTGATTTTAGCCGTGTTTAGTCATGTGAAACCACCGAATTTATCGCCATTGCAGCCAGAAGTCAGCGAATTGATTCAATTGCGATAAAAATTAAGTTCTCCCAACAAATTGTTTATCATCCGGAAAGCGTCGTCCCTTAGCCATTCACACTTTATGTCGCACCTTAAAACAATTTTACGAGTCGTCAATTCGACGGGCGGGAAACTCCTTCAACTCCACACAGACTTTCAACTATTTGCAAAATGTTCTCGCGCCCGCGCCCTCTCTTTCGCACCCAGTGCTCCTATCTCTTTCTGTGGAAACATTTTACAACTATTTGCTGTGTGCCCCATTTAAACATTTTTTTTCTGCTCAGCTCTGCTCTTCTTGTTTTGCATGGATTCTTTTCTCGCCAGTTCTTTTGGTGCGCGCACTTCTGAATATCCTTTATGATATTCAATTTCAAATTCTAATGCTTTAAGCGATTAAGTACACGCTTTACGCCACTTAACTCCATGTCGTCCGCTTTAGACGGTGTCAGTTGTTCCGCTGCTCCACCACTGCTCCCATCCAGATCCTATCCAGTTTCCTCCCCTCCCAACCCATCCGATTCGCGGTATTTGCCAACTTCAGTTACTTTAGGCGCCGGCAACACTTGACGCTGTTTCTGTCCCTGCCCCTGCCTACTGTGCACTCAGAAAAAAACTTCAAACTAAAAAACTCGAACTAATGAAGAGCAATAACTAGAGAGTTTGCGTATTCGCACCATGAACAGCTGGTTCTTTTCAAAGAGGACAATGAATAGTTCCCCGGGCATACAAGTTTCCTCTCAGTGTGCTCCAGCCCCCGATCTTTTTTCTACCCCACCCGCCGTGTCGACATGACATCGACGCTCTTAAGTGCCAGTTCGAGTTGGCCCCGCCACTGGATTTCCCTTTTTTCTATTTTTGTGTGCCGTGCTCAAGGACTTTTTGCTGGATATTTCATGTGCGTGCAGCGGCTTAGCAGCAGATGTGCGTGTAGGTGGAGCTCTGGGTGGATGGAGTTCCAATGCCCGCGAGGAGTGGATGCGGGGGACAGATTTCGACACGGCGTGGGCTTGGCTTGTCTGTTGCCAACGATTGGGCCTGACTTAAAGCTCCTTAAATTACGTATACGCCCCGGCGGTCAGTCAGTCGACAGCCTGAGGATAATAGCCAAGCGATTTTCTCGTCCAATTTTCTTCTTTATGCCTGGGATGCCGTCTTTGTCCTCCTATTTTGCATTTTCTGCATATATAGTTTTGGTACCCCTCGCCTAGCGACGGCATCTAGTCAATTATATTAATACCGCTGGGGGAAAAAGTGGCTAGGAACTCACGTCATTTCGGCTTTGAGCTTCTCCTCTGTCCTGTTTTGGTATCCTCCTCCCAGAAACGTTCTTTTGTGACCAGGCCATTCGTGCGTGCTCTAATTTGTTTGCAACTCTACGTGTGTGTTCCTTGTTGATTGCCACTCATGTCCCCACATCCCAGCCAAGCTCACCCGGCCGCCCACCAGCCGACTTGGTCCTTTTTTAATGCTCCTTTACAGGTGCAAATGATTCTATTTGGACGCATTTCTCTTTTATATCTCTCGGCATTAGCCCTATTTTTTGCATCGTTAGATGTCGGCCAGTCCTTCAGTAAATGTGGCAATTAATGTGGAAACTACCGATGAAAACTTCTCTTGTAAGAGAATTTTTGAATAAAAAATTAAGCCCTAAAAAGGCTGCACTGAAACACATAGGAAAAAAACTCTTAAACTCTTTCGAAAAATAAAATGAACTTCACATCATAAAGTTTAAGGTACTGATAGCATGATATGGTAGACTTTATGTTTAAACTTTGTTTTATATGATGTTTTTATGTCCCTCGCTTTTGAATGATTAATTCTTTTAATGCACGTGACTCAGTGATAAAGTATTGTGTCAAGTCTACCATTTCCTGCCTTATTGTAAACGGCTCAAATCTTTATTTGGCAAACAACTCAAAGAAATTGAGGCAAAAGGAAAACAGTTGAACAAGCAAACCAATCGAACTGATAAAAGGGGCCGCATCCTTGCCATAAGCTGCACAGGAATCGTGCTAATCTCCACTTGAAAAACACTTGACGAGGGGTTGGTGGGGCGTTGAATGCGAGGGAAATGGAAAAGCCATGAGCAATGAGCCGAAGGCAGCCTGTGAATGAGCTGTAAAAAGGCTCAAGTATTGACAATGCCTCTGGTCTTCCATGCGATATCTTCCGCCCACTTTCTTCGCACGTGTTTGTGTGTGTATGTGTGTGTAATGGGCTAATGGGCGTGGCAAAAGGGACATGACAACAAATTGGCAAATTTCGTACTTTTTTCAGCTCGTATTTTCTCGATGTGTGTTGGCGTGTTTGTGTGTTTGTGGGGATTTATTTCAATTGAAAGTGCCGCCATGAGCTGTCAACATGAATCCTTGGCCAGACTCTAGCAATAAGTCAGCTAACGAGCTTCAATGAGGCATGCCAAGTATTTCCGGTACACACACTAGCACACAAACGCTCACACACACACACGCACACGCACGGGGAGAGAGAGAGGAGTGCAGAGTGAGCAAGATGGAGATATCAAATAGCTTGGCGTTGCTGCTGCATTTTTGTGTCCCAAAATGTGTTGGCATGAAATTTACATTAGAATTTCCTCTCCTTTCTGACTACAATTTCCCTGCACAAACAAGAAAGCTAGAGAGGCATGCGAGCTCTAAGGACTTTTGGCATAATTTTGTGCAATTTTCCGAGCTGTAATTTGAACAACATTTCGTAGCTAAATTAAATTGCCTGCCATACGATTCTGTTAATGCCTGCATTTGATATTTGCATTTGACATTTGTTGCTAAATTTAATGTTTGTTTTTACTGCCATGCGTATACGTGTACCTTTCAGTACACCCGCTCTCTTCAAATCAATTCCCTTTTGCTAATTGGCATCGGGTTTCTCCGGTTAAACCAACTCAATTAGTCCAAGTTTTTGGGACAAAGAAGTTTCAGACGCTTGCGGCTTTCCAGGGAAACCAAATCGTTTCACCCCTCGGCTAAAAGCGTTCGAACACACAATGGCACTGGAAGAAACAACAAACTTTGTAACCCACAACCTAACCTATTTAGCCTACAGTTCTTAAATCTTAAAAATAGTATATGCTTTTGAAATATCTAATGCACTGTAGATTTGGATACACAGAAGGCCAAACCTAAAATAAGTGGAATTATTTAGAGATAGAAACTTTTTCCGGTGCAGCAACATTCTGGACTCTGTATCCTTGCGAAGCGTTAGACATTTGCAATTTTGCGTCACGCTTGGCAGACAGGCAAAAAGGTTTCAGTGGCTTTTGTGGCTGTCACTTGGCGACCGATTCGATGGCATTTGGACACTGGACTTTGGCATTCATATTGAACGGCTTTCGGCTTTGATTGAACTCAAATGAAGCTTGATGCGGTTAATGGGGGAAATGCCATGGGGAGTGTGTGTATATCAATTATGTAAAGTGCGCAGCCGAAGAAATAATAGAATCAGGAGTGGATTGGTTACGCCCCTCCCCACCCCCGCAAACAGGCGCCATAAATCTTAAATTTCTTAACATAATACTTCGTTTGAAATGCTCTACACACACTCAACTCATTTGGTGTGGCAATTTTATGCCTCGCAGTGCTCACATAAATCAAAGGACAAACTCCATGATAATCACTTCAGCAACGGGGCTTTCAATTAAGAATTGTCGCCTGGCAACAATAACAACAATAGCCGGGCGAAATTTAATTAAATATTCCTTAAACAGCAAACAGCAAGAGCATGACGAGGAGTGAAGGTAGATATGCAGATTGAATTAAGTTTTATTCTTCACGCCCTTTTGCTGAGTTTGTTGGGGGGTAGAAGTGTAATGGTAATGTTTAGCACAAAATAGCAAACGTGTGCGTTACTCACACAAATACTAAAATACACACAAGCACACACACTGACATACACACCAACAGAGCTGGGAAACGCACACATACGCAGACAGACCGACACTTTTGCGGCAGCCACGAAAAATTTAATTTTCACACATTACTTGTGCATACTTGGAAATGCCAGAGGCGAAAAACCGAAACCAAAAACCGAACAGAGAGCACCGACAAACCGAAACGAGCACCTACCCCCCACCTACCTACCCGTGCCCCCTTCCCCCCTCCAACTCCCCACACCACCCCCACCCACATACACAGTCACAATTTAACGTATGCGTGATATTGAAACAATGTGAAAATTGCGCATACGCACAGTTGTGCCACCTCGCACGCATTGTTCCCTGGGCAAGCAAACCAAGTCCTTAGCCTCGTAACCCCAC